ATATTACATCTACCTCTATTATTTTTATTTTCTTATTATCGTTCTTTAAATCTATTTAAAATAAATATAAATTAATTCCACAAATATATTTACATACAATTTTTTTTTAAACATAAAACCAAAAAAAAAAAACATAGCGGCGTGCATATGTATGATATATCCTAATTAAACGTGGATCACAGTAAATTAATGTGCTAAAATAAAATGGAAAAATCAATTAAAGTACTATGATGCATGATTCATGTAGAATGAGTCAAATAATTGGAGTAAATAAGAAGAAAACGTACAAGAAACCACGAGCAACAAAGTCATAGACCTATCTATAATATTGTACGTACCAAGAAGATAATTATGCCGCAAGGAAATTAAGGGTGTGTTCGATGCAGACATAAAATATTTTTCAATTTTCCTAAGTTAGATAGGTTAAATATTTTTTTTAGGAAAACACGATCAGATAAGAAGAACGACTTTTTTTCTTAATTAAAGTAGAGAATTAGACAAGTTACACTATTGATATTGTACATTGACGATGTTCTCTCCACACTCCCAACATATAATATTTGTCTTAATTACATATAAAAAATTACCTCAAAACATAATTATAAAAAAAACTACTTAATTTTTTAAAAAAATATTCTCTTTCGAACCAAATACATCAAAATTTCTTTAATTTGTTTCTTCGTTGCTCACGTTATTGTAGAATTACAATGTGAATTCCAAAGTAATTTGTCAAACAATGTAAATTAACAAGAAGACTTTCTAAAAGTCTCCAAGAGTCTGGTATACGGTCAAGTCTATACCACAAAAAAAAAAAAACTTCTCTGTGAACACACAATTTTAATGTTTAAATTATAAGTCTGTATTTATTTATATTTAAATATAATTAAGGTATGTTTTTATTGTACCTCTCATACGATTTAGATTTTTTTTTAATAATTTACATAAATTTTATAGTGTAAAGAGTAATTTACATTTTGTCTCCAAGCATTCACATACGATGTTTTTTTTTCCTATAGTATATATGATATTGAAAGTCGAATCAAAAGAAAATTATCCATAAATAAATTGATATGAACTCATGTAATTGATTGTCTTATTTCGTTTAAAAAAAATAATGGTTATAAAATATTATTGTTTACTTGATTATATTTTAAACTAATTAATCAAGTTAGAGAAACCACTTCCTTTTCGTTAATTCTTAGAAAAGTTAAGCAAGTAAAATGACTGATTGTCTTTGTCATTATGATCCAAACAGTTAAATTATACACGATTGTACACAAATCCTTCTTTACGTCTTTATTTTTCCATGGTATATAATAATTATTTTTTTTTAGATAATTAAGCAAAATGATCATTTGATCATCTTTGTTAATTATACATTTATACTATTGATTTTTTACTAGACTGGATATATAATAATTATTATAAGTTAGAAAAACCACTTCCTCTGTTTGAAAATAGAATTTGCTATGCATAAATTATTATTTGTTTTCGATTCGACATGCCCATTAACACCGAAAGGATAAAATGAAATACCAACCATTTTATTTAGTAATAAAATGAACAAGTCAAACGGAAGTCCAAATCTTCTGTCGAAGAGTTTTGAAGCTCAAATTTTAAAATTATCAATTTAAGTAAATAATAAATCAAAAGAATTGAAATATTGCAGGTAACTCATATTTAAAATTTGAGTTGTTTAGGAGAAGATTTGAGCTAATGTCCATTAAAATTCATCATTGAATAGATTTGATGTTCAAAGTTTAAAATTTCATATTGTAAACATAAACTGTTTCGGGTGAATAATAGAATGAAAGACTAAAAACATTGAGAGAAACTTATATTTAAAATTTGGGATTGTCTATAGGAGATTTGATCTAAGTCAGAATTGAAGGAAAAAAATTCAACTTGTTGACGAAGATGAACTATATTGCAATATAAAAATAATATATAAAAGCGTATATAGAGATGTATATACATCTCTAATACATCGTTATATATTATATATACTATGTTATATATACGCTTTTATTACCGACGGTACATTTACGTATGGCCATCCATAGGGGGATTTCCCTACTATCACATCTGAAGATTCTCTTTTACATTCATTTGTTCTACCTCTTCCTCCACCTCCGATCTGGTATAACATCACATTTGACACTAAAGAAGGTACAATTCAACTATGAGGTACATCACCAAACTTCTCTGTCTATTCAATTTATTTTATTATCAACTTTTTTTCATGCATATTTCTTCCACCAATTCTATAGTGGAATTTGCCTCCCACCGTAGGCCTATTGAGATATTTTTCAATAAATTTGGATTCACGAAGGGAATACCCGATTCCCGATTAATTTTGTAGCTATAGCAAAAAGCAAAATCCTCTCCCTCCCCCCCCCCCCCTCCTCCCTACACACACTTTCGAAATCTTTACGTGTAAGTAAACAATTATATTGTAGTACTAATTATTATCGTTTGGTCAATGAATTAATCAATTAGCGAAATCTCAAACCTATCATTTTCCTTAACACCAAAATAGGAAAAAAGATAAAAAGATCAAATTTGTCGCATTAGTTTGATCATATGCATTATAGTCCTCTACGTTAAATCGACTCCTGGCCCAATATTGGGTTTAGACCTATTAAAGATATTTCCTTATATAATTTGCTTAACAAAAGTATTAATCCAATTTTGCCTATATATTATATAATATAAAAGAAAATTTACTCGGTTATGTAAATTCATACTATTTAGTCACTCATTATAGTTATCATTTGCTATAATTACCACTTGCGACTAACATTAATCATTAATTACGTGGTTCACTTCAAGTTTGTATAATTAGTCATGTTTGTATATATATAATTCGCCATATTTGTATAATTTGCAACTAAATTTTTTAATTTGATTTATATTTGTATACGATGGTTTGTATAAACGTATAGTTTTCGAATTTAGTATAATAAATTTGTATAATATATTTTGTATAATTGTTTAAAGTTCAAGTGTTTTTGTATCAATTCGTTATTTCAAGTTTTATTATATTTGTATAACTTCAAACTTTATATTACTCAATTATACCAAAATATACGAATTATACAAATGTACATGCGAATTATAAAAAACGAGATGCGAATTATACAAATTATTGTCCTCTGTCGCTCGCCTCTCTCCTCTATTTCCCAATCTCGCTCGCCTTTCTCATCCCTTTCGTGATCTCTCTCGCCATAATATACAAACACATATGTAATATACAATTATCTAACCGATATACATATATATTTCACCTCTCTCCGCTCTCTTCCCTCTCTCGCTCGCCGCTCTCCTCCCTATAACATATAGGTACGAATTGTAATTAGCAAACTATAGCGCGCGCGCGCGCACACACACGCACGCGCGCGCGCGCACACACACGCACGCACGCGCGCACGCACGCACGCGCGCGCACACACAATAGTTAACTTCAAATATTAATTTTCAAAAGAAACACAAACATATTTCTATCAATATACATTATGTTAAGGAACCGTCTTCGTACTTGTTTTTCTCAAAAAATAGTTGGAGACACAATTTTTTTGATAAAGACAAATATAGTCTTTTAGTTGTCACAATAAGTGTTCCACGGTGATATACATCATTCTTTAACATAATTTTAAATTTCTAAGTATCTTATACTTTATCTTTATTTTATTTTACATTCACACAAAAAAACCATTTAAAACATCGAACTTTACCGAATTGAAATAAATCGAATTAATTTCATGTAATATACAGTGCACACTTCTCTAAAATCAAAAACCAAAAAATCAAATCGAAGAATGGAACGCCCATCGCTTTGCAACGTATCGAATAACCATAAAATATATTCGAAAGCAACGAAAATTTTGAGATTTATTGGTAAGCTATATTGTATAGTCAGTTTATGTATTCTATGACTTTTAGCAAGCTATATTATATAATCAAGGTATACTTTCTATAAATTTTTTTGGCTATTTTTATGTTAAAAAAGCATGTATATATTTATAGTAAATTAATTACCTTTATATATATTTAAAACTATCTACATAATTATTCGAAATATCCATCATAACTAAATAAATTAGGGATAATTACATCAAAGCACTCTTCGATCAATTTAATTACCAAAAAAATAGCTATCATCTTCTTCATCTTTATTGGTTTCGTCGTCTTCTATTTCGTCCAGTTTCTTGTTTCCATTCTTCTTTTTCTTCTCTGAGTTTGTTGTATAGTTTCTTCCCCTTTTTTTTTAAAAAAAAATTGATATATCATAAATATGAATTGTTTTGACAGAATTATATATCATAAGACTTGAAAAATTTAGATGATTTCATATCTAAAATTTGGTATTGTCTAGAGGTGATTTTGAGTTGATCGAGATTGAATAATTAATATATACTTCATGTATATTCAATATGTACTTTACCTATACTAAATATATATTTCATGTATAGATAAGTTATATTCAATTTTTTTAGAGTGGATCCTAATATAATGTTAGTATATAACAATATTGTGTAGTGAATGTATACTTTCTATGACTTTTGACTATTGTATAATCAAATATATAATGCAGTAACTTTTGGCTACTATCTTTTTTTTTATAGATATGACAGTGTGGGGTGAGGCGGATCGGGGGTGGGTGAATTCAAGGCTATGGGGTTGGGGTGAGGGGTTAAGGTGGTGTGAGGCGGGAGTGATGCGGGGCGGGTTGTGTGGGGCAAGAGTGATGTGAAAGTGAATTTTTTTAAAAAAAGAAATGAATGTGAGTTGGGCGGATTGCAGAAATATGTAATTTTATATGGATTCAAATTTAATTTTATTTTTTTTACATGTTATAAGAGTAATAGAATATTATTTATTATGATGATTTCTATAAAATTACTAAAATATTCAAGATAGTAAATAAAAGTTATTTAATAAAAAATAATATAATTTCTTAGGCATTTCTCGATTTGACTCTAAAATAGCTTGGTCCAAATTTGCGTGAAGTTTGTAACGGTAACATTGCATGTTTAATTTGCCTACAATGAACCCGCTCCTTGATAACCGTTAACTCATATATTATGTACATCTTCTAATTCAAAAGGAAAAGTTGAAAACTATAGAGCAGAAAGTAGGTACAGAGTACAGCAATGAGGGGAAGAAAATGGTTAGGTTCATTCCAACCAGATTTCACTTCCATTGTTTCAGTTCGTTCGACCCTCATCCTCTTTGAAGAGTTGTTGTTACTGGTAAATCACAAAACCCTACTCCTAAATTCTATTTCTTCTTTTATTTTTGTCTGATTAATTCCAATAGGGTTTCGAAATGTGTTGTTCATGATATCTTCTGGTTGAATTATTTCTTACGCTAAGAATTGTTGTATCTAGTAATCGGGTTGCTGCAATTTTTAATCTTGGGGTTCTCCTTTTCCGTTTCATTTTGACTTGTAAATGGGTTTAATTTCATCTACATCCAAATTAACTAAATGGGTTTCTTGAATCATTGGTTGTTTTTGTACAAAATGTTTTTTTCCCCCAAATACTATGGGGTTACATCACCTGCAACAACAACTAATAAATCTAGTTTTGTAACCTAGAAATTAGAGTACGAAGTGAAAATGTGAACGACCTATTATTAAAATACACTGATGCGAGACGTTGTGCGTGTATAAAAGTAAATTCTTTGTAGATGATTTAGAATTTTCATGTGGTTTTGGAAGTTGGATTCTTTTTGATTGTTTAGTTGTTTTAATGTAAAATCAAAATTATACAGTGGTGTAAGTTTTGTAGTACTAAGTTCAGCCGAAGAGCAGAATAAGCATTCTGTGTTTGGATAGGGTAATCTTGGATATCCTCAAAGTAATATCAACTCTAGCTCATATATTTAGAATCCCATTTTATATTTTTGGTCTGATTGTGCAAAAATTAGTGAATGCTAAAACAAGCATTTTCTACTGAAATGTTCTGCAATTGTGCCCTATGGTTCTAGCTCAGGAGAATTTGACGAGCAGTCGTGGCTAAACTCTAAGGTACCACCCAAACTTCAATATCTATCTTAATCTTTGTTGTATGTGTAAAATACCGCTTTTTATGAAGTCATCATTCCTCTAAACATTTAGCTAATGCGCTTCCTCTATCTTGTCCTAATGTCCTGTACCTTGTGCTTCTCCTCTCTTCTGGACCAACCTTACTCCTAGCAACCTCTGCTATCATATCATGTCTGTGTTAGATTCTCAATCCACTGCCTCTATCCAAGAACACTTTATTGGTACTAAAACTGTTTCACATTTAGTTTTGAAATTCTTGTCAACTAAAAGTGATGCAGGACTAAGACTCGCTCTTCTCGTCCAGAAGAACAGTTGTCTTCTTAGTTAACTAGTCATTAGTTTTTGGCACCAAAGAAAGTCGAGAAGGTTGGTATCTCAAGGTGGTTGTCGCTGAAGCAACTATGGAAGCAGACTCTATCAAAAAGTCATGCGCATCAAAGAAATAAAAGGGCTCTCCCTCTCTTATCTTGAACCTAGCTTTTCCAAGTTTCGATGAACAAAGTGTGCAATGGGTGGAGTGAGATCACTACCACACCATTTTTAATTTATCTAGTGAAGATGGGCTTCGAGTGCGTACTAGGCGAGACTATGATTGAGTCAAGCGGACACCCGCTAATATGCACTTCCTTTCGCAATTTGAAGCCAAGTCATTGACGAGCCTCGAGGACCTTTCTAGCCTCCTCGCTTTGATTTCATTGCTTTCATTTTCTCATTCTCAAAGTAGAAAAAAGTCTTGCTTTGCCTCCTTCTTTCTTCGCTAGTTGAAAGCTAGACTCACATGTCTACTTATGAAGATTATGTCTTCCTCACTTGTTTAGAAATAGCATGATGCTTAACACATGTAATTGGAGTCTATTTTGGGGCTTACTTAAGTTCATGCAAAGAAGATTTATAAGAGAAAAGTTTCCAATCTCTCTTAGACTTTCTGTCTCTTGAAAAATATTGTATTCTTATATTTGAGATCGCCTCCGTGTGATTCATCCTAAGTAGCTAACCGAATCCGTGTGATTCATCCTAAGTAGCTAACCGAAAAGGAATTGATAAGAAAAGATGCTCTATCTTTTTTAAGGTAAAGGAAAGAAAGCCAAGAGAAATCACCCCGGAAGACTTCAACAAATAGTTGACCTAGCCTTGTGAAACGAAGATCGATGTTCGTCCCATTCAGCGAATCAATCTTCCATCCTCTTGATTGGAGTTTTTAGCTTGTATGGTGAGAAATTAACAAGAAAAAAATGAGATTTCTAAAGAATTTAAATCAACATTTTTTTGTTGCACAAAACAAGGAAAGAGAATGTATTATTAACAAAGCGGATTTTTTTCATTAATATTTGTTACATGGGAATACATCAAATAGGAAGATTACACACACATAGACTAGCCACATAACTGAACACAACATGACAAAGTGAACAATGAAAGCATTGAAGATTACTAGTGATTCATACAAACACAACAAAGACACTTAGCATAGCAGTTGATCTCTACCAAACAAAGAAAAAGAAGAAACACAATGCTTTGCATTTATAGACACTAATTTAAACCTTAGAAAATTCAAAAGTGCCAACAAACTTATCTATTCTACTCTCTCTGGGAATCCAAAGCTAAGCGGGTGACCCACCAGTTAGTTCCCTTAGTTTATGGAGGAGGGCCTCCTTCCTCTCTTCCAGACCGCAATATTTCTAAATTTGTTGCATCATATTTGCCAACAGCCTCAAGAGGAGGCAAATGCTCCAAGAACAGACCCAACCTTTGTTTTTCGATTAGAGTTTCTCCTCCTTTACTCATGAGATTACGATAGAAATTTCTTGAAGTCTTAGAAAAGAATCCATGGCTACACTCAATTTTTTTTCCTGAATTCATTGTTCCTCTCGTCTCCTTTTGCCAAATAGAGAAAGAAGCTTTAATTTATAGGTGTTGGAGATCGTTTATCCTTTCTTATTATTAGTAAGATAGGTTGTCTTAGTTTCGTAACATGGTTCAAACCTAAATTTTCATGAATATGGGACATTCACTAGAGTTCAGTGCACTGAATAATTATATGAGTACTTCAAGCTCCTTTTCTTTTGATGAGTATCGTCACGTGGCTTAGTCATGGATCACTCCTTAAGGAATATGACACAATAATATAGTGCACATGATGGAAAATGGTACCCCCTTTATTATAAGACAACCCCATGCCCTTTTTTTAAGAGATAAAAGCAAGCATCACCTGACACTCAAAACTGACCTATACAAAACCATGTGACTTGTCCTCGTTTATGTACCCCCACTGACACTAGACAATGCCCTGCCTACTCGTCTTTAGTGGTCTTATTTGTACCCAACTACATGAAAGTTTCCTCGAGCAATCCTCACTTGACAACTCAAAGTTGATTGGTATGACCAGCGTGCTTGCCTATGCCTAGTCTTTCATCGGCCTTTTTTTTACCCAACTACAATTTCTTTCCTTAGAAAAGGAAAAGGGGCCTCTAGGTCAATTCTTAATCGAAAACAATTCTATCCTAGCGAAGTAAAGTTTCTAGTGAACTTTTTGAAATTTCATTATTTAATATAACATCAAGATAACAATAACATTATAAAGCTATATAGGCATTTATCCAATCCATCCACCGAGAAAAAGACCTGTCTTACACTAAAAGTTCACGCGCTTCTTTATTCAAAACAAAAAAAAAACATTCTAAAATGAACCCACATGTAAAAGAGGGTTGGTATGCTCATTATTCGTGTTCGTACATTTTATCATTATTGCAATACAAGTAAGACCTCTATTACTATACTAGTTAAATACATTTTTGAATTGAAAATAATTACATAATTAACGACTTTATTTATCAAAGTAGAATATATGTACAAGTTCTTACATTATTCATTTGAATTAATAAATTATTTTTCTCAAGGACTTAGAAATCGCCAAATAAACTAAATCAATCAGAACTCATAAACACCTCCAAATTCACATTATTGTGCACGTTCTCCATCTTCACATGTGCATACATTCACCATAAAATGCTTTTTTGATCTTCAATTTTTCAAAAGTGTAAATTATAATATTTTAAAATGAAAAATTATATTCAAATTCTACCTCCTAACCTAAAGGAGCAGTAAGTTTAAAGATATTTTTTTTAAAATATTTTAGTTTAGAGTACAACTAAACATGATGTAACTGTACATAAGTTAGACATGAATATCTTTTTACATGATGAATTTATGATTTTATTTCTCCTTTAAAATGTGTATTCAATTTTTTTCGTATATTATGAAATTACATTTAATTCTTAAGCAAAATTTATATTATTTTTAACTTGAATTAAAAATGAAAAATTGAAAGTGAATTCGAGAAAAATTATATCAGATAAATGTGAGGGTTGTTTAACTTCAATTTTAAACCTTGACCAATTTTTAAAAAAGGTTTGATTATATTGGAATCTTCTTATATTGTATAAATTTCATTTATTATGTGTAACGTAATTTATCAACTGTACTTTTACTTTATTAAAAAAATCATCCATTATAAAAATGTAGGTAGATAAATAATCAATCAATATCACTATTTATATTTTATAGTAATATGAATTATAATTTAAATAAATATTCATCCAATGTCTCTATTTATATTTTTTTAGAAATACGTAATAAAATATGATAGATAAATCTAATCATTGAAAAAATAATGAATAGACGAATAAAAGCTTAGAATAAATTAAATTCCAAAAAGTAAGAATAATTCATTTTTATTTATACTAAATTATAAATAAATATTGATATTTGGTAAATTTAAATTTTTTTAAGGTGATAACATTTAAAATGTCCAAACAAGACATTCCAATTTAAAATGCTTAGATATAATATTTTAATATTATCCGTGCATCACGCGGGTACGAACTAATATAGTTGAGGTCTTACTTGTATTGCAATAATGATAAAATGTATGAATACAAATATTGAGCATACCAACCCACTTTTATGTGTTGGTTCATTTCAGAATGTTTTAGTTTTGAATAAATAAGTGAATGAACTTTTAGTGTAAGACATGTTTTTTTTTCCGGTGGATGGATAAGATAAATGCCTCTATTGCTTTATAATGTTATTGTTATGTCGATGTTATATTAAAGACTGAAACCTAAAAAGTTCAACAAAGACTTTACCTCGTTAGGACAGAGTTGTTGTCAATTGAGGATTGGCCTAGGGTCTCTTTTTTCTTTTATAAGAAAAGAGATTATAGTTGGGTATAGATAAGTCGTTGAAAGATGAGTAGGCAAGCACGCGGGTTGTATCGGACAACTTTGAGTTGTTGACTCACGATTGGTAGAGGGGACTTCCATTATTTAGCTGGTACAAACAAGACTACTAAAGACGAGTAGGTTGGGCATAAGTTAGTGTCAGTGGGGTATGTAAGTGAGGGTCAGATCACATGGTTTTGTATTGGTCAGTTTTGAGCTGTCAAGTGACTATCTTGTAATAAACGGATACTATCTTCTCTGATGTGCGCTATATTATGATGTCTTATTTCTTATAGAGTGATTCGGGATTTAGCCACGTGGTGATTCTCTCTCCAAAAGAATAGGGTGCCTTGAGTACTAAAGTGCAAATGAGGAAAGGATAATTATTTAGTGCAGTAAAATCTAGTGAATGGGGTTCCTTATTCATTAAAATTTAAGTTTTAACCATGTTACGGAACCAAGATAACCTATCTTACTAATAAGGGGTTAAGAGCCTCCAACGCCTATAAATAGAAACTTCTTTTTCTATTTGGCAAAGGCATACGGAGAGGAATAACGAAGTCAGGAAAGAAATTGAGTGTAGAAGTGAATTCTTTACTAAGAGTTAAAAGAAATTTCTATCGAAATCTTTAAAGTAGAGGAGGAGAAGCTCTCATTAGAGCAAAGGTTTAGGTCAGTTCTTGGAGCATTTGCCTCCTCTTGAGGCCGTTGCAAATATGATGCAACAGATTTGAAACATTGCGGTCTAAAAGAGAGGAAGGAGGCCCTCCTCCATGAACTATAAGGGAACTAACTAATGGGTTTCCTGCTTAGCTTCGAATTCCCCGATAGTAAAATAGAAGAGTTTGTTGACACTTTTAAGTTTAAGGGTTAAATTAGTGTATGCAGACGCAGAGCAGTGTGTTCCTTCTTTTTCTTTGTTTTGTAGAGATCTACATGCTAAGTGTCTTTGTTGTGTTTGTATGTATCACTAGTAGTTTTTCAATGCTTCCATTGTTCACTTTATAATGTTGTGTTTAGTTGTGTGGCTGGTCTATGTGTGTGTAATCTTCCTATTTGATGTATTCCTATGTAATGACTAGTAATGAAAAAAATCCTCTTTGTTACAGTTCAATCTCTTTCTCTATTTTGTGCAGAAAAAATGTTGATTTGAAATTCTTTTGAAATCTCATTTTTTTCTTGTTAATTTTCACATATACAAGCTAAAACTATAATTAAAGAGGGTGGAAGTTGTTTCGCTGAATGAGACGGACATTGATCTTCGCTTCTACAAGGCTTGTTCAACTATTACTTGAAGCCTTCCTTTATCAAGGGGTGATTTCTCCCGGTTTCCTTTCCTTTACCTTTGAATAGTTAGAGCCTCTTCTCTTATCAGTTTTTTTTTCGGTTAACTACTTAGGATGAATCACTCTGAGGCGATCTCAAACATAAGATTACAGTATTTTTCAGGAGACAGATGGCCTATAAGAGAGATTAGGAACTTCTCTCTTACGAATCTTCTTTGCACGAGATTCAGTAAACCCGAAAATAGACTCCAATTACATGTGTGAAACATTATGCAATTTCAAATTAGACAAGTGAGGAAGCCATAATCTTCATAAGCAGACGTGTGAGTCTACCTTTCAATTAGCCAAGAAATGAAAAAGGCAAAACAAGACTTTCTTCTTTCTTTGAGAGTGAGAAAATGAAA